AATAGAGAAAAGGAAGAAGCAAGAGGAGGGAAGAGGAATGATCTGAGTCTAGCATTAGGACTAATACGTATGTGAGAACAAACGAATAACGACAATGAAAGTGAATGATCTCATTCGTTGGGGAGAAACTACACGACACAAATGAAAAGATTTATTCTAGAGGAAAAAAAGGAAAAAAAGAAGAAAAAAAACCACAAACACAGGATTACAATAACAGCTTACCTGAACGAGTTTGATGAATGGAACCGTGCTCCTTTCTTCCTTCCTGGTTCACGGTTCAAATGGTAAACACGAGAATGAAAAGAGACGTGGCGTGATGAAAGGATACGATAAAATGATGGAATGAAAAAGATAAAAGATACCCCAGTGAAAGATGATTACAATTAGGAATAATCACGAAACGTCAGATCTATTATCCGAGAGCGACAGCATCGTTGTCGATGATTCCAGCACAAAGTGCGCCGAGCGACTGTTGCGTCCCCGTCCCGGTTTGTACACGAGCCTTCTCCCCTCTTCCTCTATCTTTCTCTCTCTTACTCTTACTCTTACTCCCTCTGCCTGGCCTCTCATATACGGCGCTTCTCCGCGCGGTAAACGTCAATGCGAGTTGCGCTCCTCTAACTTCCTAGATTATTCTCTTGCTGTATTCTATCAGTTAGCTAGGTAGCTAGCTATCCAGCTAGCCAGTTTTAACTCATCGAAGAAGTTTCATTGCTTTTTTCTTTTTTTCTTTTTTAAATTTTAACGACTTACCCAAGTTCTTCTTTAACACCAGGCACTGAGCTCTTCACAATTTTTTTATTCCTTCTTTTTTCTTTTTTTCATTTTTTTCGTACGCTTCATTCTCCTCCTCTTCGTCACTCCTACCACCCATTTTTCCTACTCTCTCTTTCGTCTTGACCCGTACGCCGAGCTCAGAGAACGGGTGGCTCGATCTTCCGAGTTCAATGACCTCTTTCTAACGTAACGATCGACTCCAGATTCGAAAGGACAATAAGATTTTTTTTATCATCACGGAGAAATCTGAGAGGCCTATAACATAGATTCCATCAATCCTAACACATTTGTACCAGTGTAATTATGAAACTGCTCCAAGTTAAGAATAATAATATCTTCTTAATTCACTTTCATAATCGTTATAATCATTTAATAATTAACTAATGATTCGTTTATATATATATATATATATATATATATATATATATATATATATGTATGTATATATATATATTATACAAGTTTCTGATTGGTGTTAAGTACGTAGACATAATTGTATACAACGTTCCTGCGCGTGAAAGGCCAGGATTTTCCAGGAAAATTTATGGCAAGGGCTTTGAGTTTGATAGTTAAACCATATCATGATACCTGTCGAAGACATTTATGATACGCATTAACGATCGTAAATCATCATAAAATTATACACGACATTCCTCATGCTATCCATCTTCATAGTAATAATCAAAATATAATAATATTCTTATTTCTCAGTTATAATATAATTCTCTTTATTCGTGAAATTTTCTTATCTGTATGTTTTTTTCTTTCTTTTCTCTTTCGTAAAGGTTCCCTTTACAAACAATATAAAAGAACGACCAATAAAAGAAAATGTTTAATCGTATGCATCTATAAGAATGACGTCATCTTAACGGATATCATAAAATTAATTCTTTACCTGTAATGAATTCATTAGCATTTGGATTACGCGCTCTTAAGTACACTTGCACCTGTCAGTAGATGTTGTGTGAACGTGCCCTAATGGATTTCACATAGAGATAGCTGTAAATTTATTTAACAAATTTAGGTTAGTTAAAGCCTACGTTGTGTAAAACTTAATTATAACTTGATATAATACGCACATATTGAAAGTAAATAATCGAAATTATGCTTTCTGGATTTATACTCTCTAAAATATAAACAATGAGGTCATTTAATCAATATTCTAACTTCTCTAGTCAAAATGTTCGATATACATATGTATACACATATATGTTAAAATTATTCGAATTTTATTTCGATCATATTGATATTTTCTATTTATTTATTTGAAAATACTATGTCTATATTATAGAATCTAAGATTGTATTCTTATTTCGTTCTAAGATTGCTATTCTATTTTTAGAATACACTGTAATCGGTGATTCAATCAGGATTCCTAACGTTGAAGGATCATTTAACCAGTTTAATGCAACAGTTATCGTTAAATCAGGAACGTACTCTTTATACGCGCTTTCGATTAACCTCAATACTCTCTTTACATGTGTCGTACTTAACATATAAGAGATACATCGAATTATGTACTTCTGATATTTATTTTCATACTGAAAGTTTCGTTTTGTAATAATTATCGAAATTAAAATGTTTGTACGTGAATAAAATTAGAAATTATTTACCTTTAATTTGAATTCTTAATATTTCTTACATTCACCGCCATTTTCGTCGTTGGCTCGTTACATAAAATGGACCAATCACGATCAGTCTCTGAAAAGAACATGATATCGATATAATAACTTATGTACATCGATAATTTTATTGAAATAAATCATTTTGCATGATCATATTTCTATTTTCAAATTAAAATAAAATTAATAAGAGTAATTGTTTATAAGTTAAAGTTAATAAAATATTCTTTCTGTTTATTATAATAATATAACTCGTTGCAATTACGTAAATCGAAATTGTTTCTCTACCGTTATATTTAAATTTGGCGCCATTGTTCGCAATGTTGGCGATACTGTATGCACGTGATTAATCTTCATGCTAAAAGCGTTATAACATGAATACAGCTAAATTTTCTACAATTTATTATTAAGCCGGTTGTGTGACGTTTATTTGTGATTAGTTTGCAAAAAAGTGTAGAATAAAATTAATAATTTTCTTTCTACGTTTCATTAATATTGGTCTGGTTATTAGCTTTTTATAACTATGTACTTAAATGCAGTATTATTTAATATCATGTTTTCATTAATATAAATATCAACATATTTTCATTTGACCAATATTATATTGGTTTCTTTTTGCAAGTTATATTGGAATATATTATTCATATACCATGTCAAATAAAAAGGTAAGTGTGATGGAAACATATTGAAAATCATATTAATAAAATTTTATAAGATTGATCAATGTTTTTCTATTTCAGGAATTACCAGAATTGCAAATTTTTAAGACAGTATTGTATCACTGTTTAATAATATTAGTTTTACCTGTGCTGTCGTTTTTTGTGAGCAAGATCTTTATATTCGATGGTATTAATTTAATGTTTCTTATATATATGTTTCTCTATATATAAACATAATTCTTTATCGACAATGATAAAATTTTTTGATATCTTTAATGCTTTTACAGGTTTATTGGGAACAAATAGTATACCTAGCAATGTATATTCGGCAGGAGTTGCAATCGTGGTCTTACATATTGCATTGGGAGCCTTTATATACAGAGCATATTTTGACGAACGATCTAAGACAGAAGTCAAGAAAGATTAGTCCTTTTATTAGTCCACGCGTGCAATTTAGTACACTTCCATGATTCATCTACATTTAATCACAGTCAAGACATTGTTAACAGAAAATGTGGTTCGCTTGTATAATTGTAATATATAATTTACATAAGCTTGATGATATTTAATATACAAAGTGTTTTGATTATGTAAGATACATCAGGTGCATGATATAGCAAAAGTTAATATCATTTGTATGATGAAAAAAATATGTTGAAAATGAATAACATTCCTATTGAATTTAAAACTCTATTATAATATTTTTTATATTAATATAGATATTGGGAGTAGATGATTTAATTTTTAATTTCAATGAACTTTCGTTATTTAATGTTTTTTCAAAAATTAATGAAAAATCATATTACGATCATTGAATATAACATCGACAATAAATAGCTATGTATTCTTATCTTTTTAATTTCTTCTTTATTTTTATCAAGCATAAATAATAGTGTTATTATAATCAATATATGTAAGGCATTATTTTTAAATTAAATAAAAATAAAAAAAAGTGTGCGTGCCTTGCTGTGACCAGAAGATAGAGATATTACATATGTCAAAGTAATGAATAATCAAAAATAAAATGGCTGAAATGTACCAAAGCTTATTAATTATATACACATTGTCACTATGTAAAATTACAAGTATATCTAATTAACTAGGAACTAGAACTTTACTATTCCGGTATTGAAAGCTCAATTTTCATTATGAAAATTAATGAAAATAACAACAGTCCTTTCCTTCACTGTACTTGTTTTTACTTAAGAAAGAGAGTAGCTTTTGTAAAGCTACAGCTGCCTAATACTTACTCAATGTGACTACTATAGCAGGCTTGGTAAATTTAATAAGTGAAACATTAATTTATTTAAGTATCATAAATGCAACATAAATTTGTGTGACAGTAGATTTTCGCTGTCCGCTTTCGAAAACGATGGAATGAACAATACGTGTTATTTTAAATATATAAGATCGCCAGCGATGTTTCCTACTTCACAATTTAATTTAGTTAATTTTAATTTAACTTAGCATTAAACATTTTCACTGGCATTAGAATACTCAGGAAGTCTCTTTTGAGTATCTCACTGGCAGAGCAATTTTCTTCATTAAATCGTGTCTTGGAAATTTATTAATTATATAATAAATCTCTCATAAATTTGTTATATCACCTAAAATATGTCACAAAGGTACGAAAAAGATGATACATGTATACAGGGTGGAATAAAATTTCTCCGAGTCGAATTATTCAAGACCGGTGATATTATTTTTATTATACATTTAATGAATTTAATAAACTTTTAATATTTTAAGTGATTTCCTACCCTGTATACATATACTACATTTGCATACATCTATATTTTGTGTATGTATGTATATACATACATATATATATATATATATTACAATATATGAATGACACGATAGTACGAATAATTCATTATGTAATTACTAAAGCTATTCTCACCTGGGGTGTATTATTTATCTGCATTTCCAAGACACTCACTTCCGAATAACAAACGATCGCTCAACGAACTAGAAGTTTATCAGATTGATAATAATTAAAGGAAAATAAAACAAAAGAGAGAGAGAGAGAAAGAGAGAAAAAAAGAGAGGAAAAGACAGACTGAGAAAGAGAGAGAGAAAGAGAGAGAAACAGATACAGAAATAGAAAAACAACATGTGCTGTCTAACTAAGTCATATCAGGCGCTTGTGTGACAATGATGAAGATGATTTCATAATGAAATATTCACCATTTCTCAATCTTGGTAAATTTAATAATATTAGAAAAACATAAATCGAGACGACTGTTACTCAACATCCATCTTTTCTTCTTCGGTTTGTGGTTGATTATTTTGATGAGCGTCGCCCTCGCTATTCTGATTAGTACTCTTTTGATCATTTGCAGTTTTGTCCTTTGGTTTTTCCTCTTTAGGAGGTTCTACCTTAGGTTTAGGTTTATTCAAAACTGGCAATACAATGTTATCTAATGCCTAGATAATCATAAATAAATAAATATTAATATATATATATATATATATTAATCCTTAAAATTATTCTATAAAATAAAATTTATTAACATATTTACCTGTTTTTCCGAACGTATTTGAGATACAGTTACTGGTGGTTGTTGCGTACGTGGAGTACCAGCAAGTACAACACGTTTCTCTTCCAACCAAGCCCATTTCTCTTGAACTATTTTCTCGACCTTCTTTATCTCATCATCCGTTAAGTGAGAATATTTATCGTCCTTTCCAAAAGAAGCCTTAATGTTATCTATTCCCTTTTTGGCAAGTTGTAATGCACCTGCTAGGTCATCCAACGCATGACCTCTTCCTTCGAATTCTCGTCTCCTTTCTTTTATTGGCTCACCTTGCGCCTATCCAATAAATAATCATCAATCATTAACATATTGTTACTCTAATATACACGTATATATATATATATATATATATATATATATATATATATATTTTTTTTTTTCTCTTTTATTTCTTTTACATTACCTTTAAGCGTGTCAGACGATCTATATAAATTTGTCTTTGACAATCTTCACCTTCCTCGTAAAGCCAAATTTCAGTTTCATCTAACGTACGGCTAAGTGAATCTTTGTCACCTTCCGTAACAAAAGTTGCCAATTGATAATCATCGGTAAGTTTACTGCGTAAATCGTAAACGTATTCCTCTAATGCATTACGTGCATCTATACGTTCGTTTTCTTGTCTATCTTCGGCAATCATTTTACACTATATATTAAAAATAAAAAAAAAACCTGAAGAATTAGATTGATACAATAGAAATTTTCTATTTCAAAGAACGAAAAGAAAATAACAATACCTCTTTTTCTAAGGCCGCATCTAACTCTCTTTGAGATAGTCCATTAACATTTGCCTCGATTGGTAATTCGACAGTACGTACAGGAACTTTTTTCTTGCCTTTGGCATCTTCTCCTTTATCATCTCCCTGAAACATATATAATTATACGATAACGTTGTTTCTTTATTTATTTTTATAATATATTTACACCTACGATAGATAAAAAAAAATAGGTCACGATTTAGGTCGTATTAGAAAAAACATTTACAAGAAAGTTTCGTTCTTTCAAGCATATACATATTTCTTTTTTATATTTTTTTCTTTCGACTTACCTCCATTGTACACATTATTACTTTCTTGCAACTTGTTTTTATTTTTGTATTTTTGACACGTTACTTTATTAGGTTTATAATATAAAAATAAAATCATAACAATGTGTAAAGTATAAAAAAAAAAAAAAAAAGAAAAAAGCTTAGACAAGAACACGAGGAGATTCAAATTGGAAATCAGGCGTCGACAATTGTTAAATAAAGATGAGCACAAGGACAAGTTCTTATGCGTATAACAGTTTATAATTCGTACAGTTTCATTCGATGATTAAAACATTTATGAGAATATTAAAAAGTGTATTTCTCTTAAAGAAATACATAATTTATACGTTTGTACGAATAAAAAACTGAACCCGCATTGCCTGCCTTTACAACTAGTAATAATTCACACAACTACAAGATGGCAGTCATATGAAGAGATATCACTGTCTCTTTTCCTTCTGCGACCCAGTTTAAAGAATAGCAGAGCAAAGACAGACAGCACGGCTGACACAGCTGTATCTTGGACCCATATGCACTATACTTTCAGTATATATATATATATATATATGTACATATATATATCTAGAACTATTAAAACATTTTTACTAATACTCCATGCTGATTAAAGAATGGAGATATGACTACCAAAGATAATCCTTAAATGGTCGAGATTGCAGAAGAAATCGACACAGAGTTTCAGGATTTTAATATGCATTTGATATTTCATGCAAGTGTGCTTTTCATTGTAATAATAAATAATAAATATATATATATATAGCACTATCCTAAAACTCGTTAAATATATATACACAACATGAAAGAGAAAATATATGGATTTTGTGCGATTGATTCAATGGTGATATCTAAATTTTTCAATGTATTCAACTACGTATGTACAACATGAAAGATCACATCAAATACGTTGTTGCATGGCAATATAAAGTATAGAAGATTATCAGGTATTGAAGAAGTATAGAGAAAGTATTTTCAATTGATGAAATACGTGCAGAACTTTCATTGCACCCTGTAATGATAAACCAAATCGCGATTAAAATACAAACGATGAATTCAATAAGAATTTAATGATAGAGAAGACAGCCAATGCCTTTGATATTTATGAATAATAGGATAGTCATGACTAGTATAATAATATGATATAATAATGATGACCTAACTGAAGCAAATGTAAGAAATAAAATCAGCATAATAATTGCTGAAGAAATCTATGCGTATGGGTCCAAGTAGATGTAGTGTGTCGCGTACCGAGCTGAACCAAGAGAGAATCCTCGAGGAGCAGGAAGGGGCAGAACCCCTAACACCTCTTCCAGTATTGTCAGCATCTGAGTTCCTTCGAGTTTTATCCATGCTCACCTAAACCACAACAAACTTACATAATCATGCATCTGAAGATATATATATATGAAGATATATATATATATATATATAGTTGTTACATGTGATCTTTTGCCCCCTGTTAATGATCAACAATGGACAAATATATGGTTATATCATTGATATATGATTATATATTATAATTATATTTTTAAATGTGCCACACATTATTATTATATAAATCAATAAAGAAATCATTAAAATTATATAAACATAAATTTACCTCTGGTGCTGGCGGTTCATTCGCTTGTGCTTCTTGATCAGATTTATCTTTCTTATTATCCTGTTGTTGCTGTTCGACATCCATATTATTTGGTTGCTGTTGTTGTTGCTGTTGTTGTTGCAATAATTTTTCTTCTTCCTCTTTCTCTTGTTGCGTTGGTTCACGTTTCTCCACGAGCGATGCCGATGCAATAGTAAGGATGCCATTGAGATTTATTCTCACTTTTACCTTAACTTTCGATGCCTCACCTTCTGGTGTTGGTTTAACATTTTTAATAACAAAGACACCTAAGGAGAAGAAGAATGAATGAGAATAATTTTCTTTTTCATTTTAATTATTTAAATTTTGCAAGAGAAATATATGCATACCAATATGTGTTTCAGGATATGATGATGGAGGCGTATTGTAGCTAGCCGTAAGCGTAAATGAATTTGAACGATAGAAAGTTAGCATCTTCGAAAATGGGATTGGATGATTATGTCCAAACACCTCCATTTCTCTATATAATGTATAATACAAAAGATTGAAATATTTATATATACATATATATTTTTTTTTAGTATTCATTTGTTAAATAAGCTATTAGGACATTTACCCTTCTTCTCCTTGAGTAGGATCCCATGTCAATTTCAATGGATACGGTTGTATATCGGTGACCGAAAATTCTCGAACCCTAACTGCAGGACTAAGCATTGCACATTGCAATGCACAACCACGAGAAACTGCTTCGTCTTGATTCAATGTTGTTGATACTGAACGACCAAATAAATCTTCGATTACTCGTCTCACTGCAGGGACACGAGTAGATCCACCAGCTATTTCTATTGAATGTATTTCATATATTCTTAATTCTGGAATAAAATATTAGTGTAAGATATAACATTGCTACTCTTTTTTAATAGGGAAGAATATTGTTTGAAATAATTGAAAATATTTACTAGAGTCTGCCAGACATTGTAAAAGTGTTGTTTGAACACGTTTGAATAAGTGACTACACATGGTTTCCATGTCTGATCGCTTCATCTCACCATGAACATCCATTTCATTCATAAAACATTCGATGTTAAGCGGAAGAGTAGTAGAATTGGCTGACATTTGTTTCTTCAATTTTTCTACTTCGGCAAGTAACCTTAAGTACGCCCGCGGATTTGTGTGTGGATCTATGCGATATCGAGCTAGAAAATCTTTGCAAAAATGTTCTGCTAAGATAATATCTATATCTCTACCACCCAAATTACTATCGACTGCACTAGATAACATCTGTAATAAATATTAATAGATTGTGAATAATTTAATTTAATTTTGTTAATATATTTATTTAATAAATAAGGTACAATACAATACAAACCTTGAGTTTTCCTTTATGAAAAGCACAAACACATACTTGTAAGCTAGCATAGCCACAATCAACGAAAACAACGTTTCTTGGTGGTGCTTCGGGAGCTGGTAAATCTTGTTTATAAATACCATAGCATAGAGCAGTGGCAGTTGTTTCGTTAAACAATCTAAGAACATTTAGGCCTGCAATACGTGCAGCATCAAGCAAAGCTTGCCTTTCATTTTGCGTATAATAAGATGGTACAGATATGACACAGTCGTTGACTGCTGTC